GAGCCGCCCGCGCGACCTGAAGCTCCAGCTGCTCCAGCCGCTGAATCACCTTCTCCAGCATCTCATTCCCACCAGCTTGACTGACCTGACGCACCGGGGCCCCATTCTGAACCGGGACGTGCTCACTACGAATGATATTGCTCACTTTCTCTACGGCTTTTGGGAAGGTTTCGATACCGGTCGAAATTATCTGCTGCTTATACTCTCTCGGCAGAGCCGTGAGGAAAGAGTGGAAGAGCACCTGATCGCACACACTCCCCGGGAACGCTTCAGCCACTAGCGCACGCAGTCGGATGACAAACGCGTCAAGAGAGGTCGACGGGTCAAACTTTAACTGCTGAAGCTGGCTATGAGCATCCAGCGCGCACGGTTTGATGAACAAGTGGCGGAGAGCACTAGCAGCCCGGCTGAACGTGTCCCTCTCCTCCCGTGGGAGGGCCTCAAAAGCATCCCGTGCGAACCCGGTCAAGCACAGCGGCAGGAAGCGCAGCTTGAACTCATCATCAACATTGTGAAATGTGTAGAACGTATCCAGATCAGCCAAAAATCTGTTGCAAGCTGAGCCACTCTCCCCAGAGAACTTTGGCGCCTCAACCGAAAATCCACTGATAGCCCCGCGGCGCACGTCCCCAGATCCACTCTGTTCCCCGAGATTCATTTCACCAAAATTTAGACAGTACCTATCTATCTACACACACACAAAAAAAAACATACACTGCACGGTACACCCATAACACAAACAATCGGTCCACTTATCTTATTGCTGTCTGATGATGAAGATCCTCATCGCCGTCGGATCATCCAGCAGACCGTCAGGCCCTCAGGCAGCCGGCAGAAGCGGCCGCGGCGATCAGCTGACGCGCAGCCGGCCGAGCGACGAGCAGCGTCACGTGACTGCTGACGTCACAGCAGCTCTCGGCCGAAGCCGGCGGCCGAGGAGCGGCGGCTGCAACTTGAAGACGACGAAGACGGCGATGAAGCCTGCGACGGCAGTCGCCACGAGCGATGACAACGGCGGACGCACTCGGAAGCGACCATCGCAATCGCAAGGACCGCCACGATGGACGGCGGCGACGACCGAACTTCAAACGGTCACTTCAGTCGCCACGGGTCGCCACAACTGACAGCGGCGACGAACGAAGAGCTTGAAATCTTGAATCTGCAGCGTCTGCGACAGCAGATGGGCGGCAACAGATCAAGCCAGCCACTGCCCGCTAACACCGAAGACTGAAGAGGACCAGCTGGCCACTCACTTAACAGTTTAACTCGTCGAGCCAGCGCATGGCTAACGGAACAGCCGCTCACTTCTCGTCGAGCCAGCGGAGCTGACCGACGAGCCGCTCCAACAAACAGCGGCAGAGGCTGCGCACTGAGACACCAGACTGCACTGCTTCACCATAGTTCTGGGCGGCACAAGTCACTGACAGCCTCGACTCAGGCACAAAATCATGGCCCAGGCGGGACCAAACACGAAAACTCACAGTTCCGAGTTCACTGGTCGCACTCGCGAGGTCGGCCGAGGCAGAACACCGAGGTCAGCCGAGACCATCTTCATTTCTTGGTAGCCGGTAGGCATAATATCCAAATCAGGTCATCCTTACGGCTTAAAAGAGCGAAGCTCGTAACCCGCTGCCACCAAATGTAGACATGGCCGTGAAAAGCATAGTCAAAGTATATTGGCAAGTTCGAAACCAAAGTCAAGTCCAAGTTCAGTTCAAGTCAAGTTTCAATTCCCAGCGTAGCCCCCCGCTCCAGACCGAATCCCCCCGTCAATGACAATGACCTTCAGACGACCTTTCGTCCGAGAAGGTTCCAGGAGAAAACCCAATCCAAGATTACTAGAACATAAGGTTGGACAAATTGTGACGTCACTGGTGCTTGGAATATTTTTTCTAGTATCCCACTAAACAGGCCTAGTTGAAACTAAATTTGAAGGGAGGGCAATTCATTGCCAAGTATCTGATTTTGTGAAAATAATTGTTGGAAATGTAAAGTAAGGCACCATGGACTTGTTTTCAATTGGGAACAGATGATATAAAAAGAAAAATAAATGTTTTACGATACTACTAAATCAGATAATTTGGTACAAATTCATAGACGTATAAATAAACTGGACTGGCAACTCGAAGGGACCTCCCATGGAAGATAGTGGCGCCGACAAAGCGGCGCCAAAAATATTTGCTGTGAAACGTTGTAAAGCAAATAAATTTGTAATTATTTTTAAATGGATGATCGGATCGAGGTGATAGTGGTGCCGTTTGACGTGCCATTTCTGGAGGCAGGTGATGGTATAGGTCCCGGGTAACTCTCTGTCACGTGGCGCGTATGACTTGCCGACAAACACATTGAGAACAAAAACCTTTTATCGACGTTTTAAGCCAATCCGAGGGAGGTCCAGGTGCCAAATTTGTAGGTCACATGTCCCGGTACTAAACCACTGACATATGGAATAATCGGCACCGAGAGATACATATTGCACATGCTCGGGACGTAAAACATGTTTTGATGAGGCATTCTCCGACGTCCGAAAACTTTGACCTAAGCACCTAAAACTCGGCACAATGGCACAACATGGACAAACGCTTGAAGGCGTTGTCCGAATAGGTGTGTTGAGGTGCACGGTCCACATGCTTCGCACGTGAAAACCTTTTGATATTACACTTCGTGCTACGCATACGTGCGGAACGATATATTTATATTTCCGAAGCTAAGCATCGTAGCGACACGTGCCAGGTGGCGTTGGAAAAGTTTCACCGAGGCGCATCAGAAGTATGCCCTAAAATTACGAATTTGAGGCAACGTGGTGAAGGTCAGATAAAACTGACCGGAAAAGGTCAATTAAACCCTCGCCGTTTGGCCACTGATTGAACTAGAGCTTCGCATAAAAAAGAGCGTGTTGCCCATGACGAGAGCAAGCCGATGATACCCAATTTTAAGGTCCTAGCTCATCGGTTGACATGTCAGGTCAGGTCAATGACCCAAAAGTCGGAAAAATCGGGACCTGTTAAAATGTCGTAAAGTGTGGTTGCCATGAGGTTTTTCGCGGTGCTGATCACGAATATCATGTTAGTTTTGATCACAGATGATGTCTTCATGCATTTAGGCCAGGTCAGGTCAGGTGAAGGTCACCCAGCAGGGGTCCAGCCGGGTATTCATTGTAGGTGTCAACCGCCACTGACAGCTTCGTAACATGTTACGAAGGCACCAAAACTACTTCGAAGCTGTTGAAAGAACTGCTAAATTCGAAATCAGCTCAAAAAACTAGCCTAGAAACATGTATAACTCGAAAAAGTGAACCGAGGTCATCAAAGGTCAATAACCTGACCTGACCTTCAGGCGACCTTGACACCCACAATAATGCATGGGACCAATATCATTTCACACGTTTAAATGTTTGAAACCACAAAAACACTGCAATCGCGCGGATACTAGCTGACATACGCAGAATCGCGATTCCGGCCAAATATGGTCTCGAGGAATAGGTTACAGGTCTAAGGTCAATTTGGTCAGGGTTATGATTTTCAGGATAGATTTAAAATTAATTACCTCGAGGGTACTGAAAGTTTTGTCGCGGTCGGCGACTTTTTACGCGAGTTAGGTATCCGCGAAAAACGGAGGGGAGGGGGGTCCGGTCGACCCCCCCCCCCCCCCCCCTATAAGCGCGTGGGTTAAGAATTTGACCTCGGGTCAAGGTCACAGAAAGATCATGTTGAATGCCATTCGATTTGTATTGCTGAGCTGAACACATTAATGGTCATTTCAGCTCTCTAGCATATTTCTATCTAAAGTTATGTATTGTCAAAAAAATGTTGGAGACGTATCATGACCTGAAATGACCTCAGGGGCATAAACGGGTCATAGGAAGCATTTTTCGGTTCAGCGTTTCATGTTCACCTGTTTTTCTTGATGTTTGAGGGTGTTTTAAGCCAAAAGAAAAGCATTTCAATTTGTTCCCTTTGATTTACGCATAATGGAGAGGTCACAAAATTGACCTGACCTTTAGTCACCGATATCCAAATTCTGAGAGAAACAAATTGTTGGTACTGATTCCCCCATGCAATACCTACCCTAAGTTTCAAGCTACTGGAATGTTAAATGTAGGAATGACTGAATCACAAAGTTCTGAGATACATTGTCACTTCACTTTGCCTGGTGGCTGGTGACCTGACCATAAGTGACCTGGGGTCAGACATTTTTGCACACGTTACGAATTTGATGTATCGTAAGCTTTACTAAGTATGGATTTTATCAGGATTTAATTATTATCACAAGTTATTTTCACAACATAACATTCATAAATTTCATTTCTTTGCTGCTGACGAAGTTAGCTGACGATCGTTTGTTGAAGGTGCAACGTCTTCACTTTCGGTTGCTAGGGACGCTCGGTTGCTAGGAATGGCGTCATCAGTAGCAAAATGCCGATGCCAGATGAAGATTTGGTGGGGGCTGACCCAATCGGCGGCTGCCCTGGCGTCGCAGCGCCAGCCAATCAGCAGCCGCCATCACTGCCACAGCCGTCGCCGCAGAGCACGGCAAATAGCCCACGGCGCGTGAGCTGTAGCCGCGGGCGCTCGCAGCGGCAGAGTTCCACTTCCGACTCTGACTCAGTCGGTCTCGGAGCGGCAGTCCATTCATTGGCGGCAGTTCATTCATTGCCTACATATAGCCGCCCGAGCAATAGGCGGCGGCACAGGAGAAGGAGCCCTCCTACACAATAATCTTTGACAAACATTATCTGACGCCGTCGTTAACTTTATGAGTTGGTGATTTTACGTTACATTGTATCGTTTTGTTTCAACCTGTCCATGTTTTGGGGTAGATGGGTCATGCTTGCTATATATGACGTTATCGCGTGATTCAATGTGGCAAGTGCCAACGATTGATCCTATTGGTTAAAGTAATCGCTTATCTAGCAGGTTTTTCTCGGAAACCGTTTCAACTTGGCTGTGTCACTTGACACTTTGCCTAGTTCCTTACCCCCGTTCGCCCTCCGTGGGCAGGTTCCAGGCGAGTCACGAGGCGCACTTCCGGGAGGTGGCGCTGCGGCACATGCCCTCCTCGGGCGCGGCGGCCCACTCGCAGGCAGAGTCGGAGTCGGAGGTGCCTCTCAGTGGCGAGGGCAGCCGGCTGCAGGCCGCCGAGGCCACGGTGGCGCCCAGTCTGGACACACACGTGTATCTGCGGGCCGCCACCGACTGCCCGGGCGTGCTCATCACAGACGAGGCCGGCGACTCCAGGTCAGCGCGGACACATGACCCTCGATAGGGAGATTAAAGACTAAGGGCTTTGGAATGGGAAATTGTTATGATTGGATGCATCTGTTATGCTCATCGAACGGTATTCTAGATAATTTTTGCTTCTATCGCTATGCTTACCGCTCGCCGCACCCCTGCCGATCATGTCTGACGTGTCCACGTCGGTGTCGTATTTCAGGACGGAGGAGGTGGACCTGGTGAGCGGCTCCCAGTACCTGCTGCGATACGAGCCCGTCCACAAGCTCCTACATAAGGGCGACGTGCACCTCATCTGACCTCACCTGAGATCCTGGTCCGCCGGCAGGTCCTTCTCAACGGTATGGAAATACCCAGTGCCGCCCTCGGCGCGTTCCAGGGCCGCCTCAGGTCCGGTCAGAGATCCCCAAATGGTCCCATCAGCTCACCAGCGTCATCCCGTCTTCCTTTACGGCTAGAGCATAGTTTTATGCCGGTGTTCTCATGCGCGGTTTGAGGTCTCGTGATGCCGGCGAAGCTCTGCGATATTCGATGGAGCGGATCTGTGTTGTTATGGCCACGTAGGTGGCGCGAGTGTCGTTTGCATACTGTGTATACCTACCTGTGATGCGCGTAGTGTTAGATTTTGTACATCTTCCCTGTGTGATACGGAAAGAACTTTGATGATAGTTCAAAAAATGGCCTACAACCGCACTAGCCTATCTATTAGTTTTTTAATGCTAACTTAAAAAGTCAATACACATGTCAGTTTGAGATACGTTCAATGTTTTCTGTCCAGGCGTTGAAAAACGAAGTATAGAGGTGGTAAAATATAATGTCGCGCCGTTGTTTACATTTACTGACTGAATGCTTCAATCAGCGATTGAAGCATCAGCGATTTTCAGTTTCTTGTCTTGGGATATCATTTTTCGAATAACTACTGACTCGTATTAACAATTATCCGCTTGGAGATTAACCTTGAGGTGAACCAGCAATTAACTTGACGTTGTTCGAGACGTTTTCAAAACATTTACCTCGTTGCAGATACTACATAATACGTCAGGATGTGGGTACACAGTCGGGTACATTTAGAATTTCACTGGGGACCGCTTCAAGATTGAGAAGACAAAGACGACTGAAAAGTACCTTTTATAGGAATGAGGTTTTGATTATCTTTAGGAATCTTTGTTTTGTACAGATGAGACCAAGGCTGAGACGGTCGTTTTGTGTGTCGATTTGTCTAGCTTTCGTAAGTGCGGATTTGGTTGAGAGTTGAAAAATTGGTGCCAACTGAGAACATTTAGTGCAAGAACTCGAGCTGTTTGTTTTGCGCGTTGACCTTGAGCTCGATTTCACGTGCCAGAGCCAAGCCAGTGAGGCCCTTGTTTTGAATTGAACTAATCAGACGGAAGACAGGCAAAGGATCGCGTTCGACTGCGAAGGTAGGTAGCTGCGGAAGGGTGTGGACTTGTCCAACATTCACTTAACACTTGTACTGTTTTGTGTGTCATGTGCATGGATTCTTAGCCTAGTGAGCTGTCCACAGGTGTTGTTTTGGTGTGACAGGATGGAATAATGACTCATGCCATTCATGTTCCATGCTTAACTGTTGGATAAGATCGTGGTGTTCAGTGTATAAATGGTGAATTGTGACAAATTATGCTTATTTGAGTGACAGGTGTGGCTGTTGAGCGTGCTGTGGTCCCAGCTGGTTCCGAACACAATGTAGGTTGTTCAGGATCCGTGCGAGTGAAAGCTCTGGAGAATCAGGCATTCAGTTTGGTTTTGTGTAGTCTTATTTTGGTATTTCAATGTGATTGTTTTTTTTTTGTTCCCTTTTGAATTCATATTTTCACATGCAACTTTTTAATAAGCATGATGTTAGTGAAGTGACTCCCTTTTTTGCTGTTTCACAGTAGAACATTCACATTTGTTTGGATTAATTTGGGAGCATTTACAAAATATGAGTGTTAGCTTATTTGGTGATCTGCTGTTGCAAAGTCTGCTTCACAGGAGAAGACAGCATCCTTGTTTTCATCTTTTTAGAGTGGTTGATCCATAGGCATCCAATGGATATGTAAAGTAAAATTAGTAACAAGCTCAGTAAGTTCTGTTTTGTGCTGGTCCTCCTGGAATGTCTGTATGTTGATCTGCACTGAATGTATTCTCTGTCCCAATTTTGATGACCTTGATACCCCTTTACCTTTTGACCCCTCAATTTTTCATTTGATATAGGTAAGAGGCTATTGGCCTGTTTATTCTATGTTCAGATGTGATGAATTATTTATGACTGGGTTAAGACTTAAGAGGTGCTGCAGGAGATTGATCTCAGCTAAGCTTCATTAGCAATTTGAGCCCAGCGAAATTGTCATGAATGTGAGCACTGAGAAGCTGAGCACTGAGTAGTGAGTAGTTCATTTAATAAAGCTGACAATAAGTTTGATAGGTTCAAAGAGAATTGTATTGCCACTAGTCACAACTTCATTTCAGCATTTGCCATTATGTAACTGAGCCCAAGCTTGCACCACAGTCTGGTCATCTTATCTGGTCTGTTTACTATTGGGCGCCGGTCACGTGTGCAGTCGGTCGGCGTTACCGTTGCGGTGCCGTTTCGCAGAGCAGTGAGCGGCGCCGGCGGCAGCGGTGGGCCGCCATGATCCGCTACAGCGCCCTGGAGCGGCTGCAGCACACCTCCGGTGTGGTGCGGCAGTACGTGCGCCGCGCCGCCGGCCAGGTCGGGAGACACTCGCCCCGGCTCCTGAGCGTGCACGAGGTGGCGGCCGTCCACCGCGAGCCAGGTGAGAGCGGGTAGTCACTACCGCCGTGTGTGAGGGAGAGTGATCTGGTATACGGTATATTCCGACCGATATAGACAGTTCATTGGCGAGCAGACCGCCTCAGGGTCGCAACTTATCCTTCGTTCTCGGATTCTGCTGCAATTCCCAGAAGTGTTTAAAATGAGTTTTTGTCATTAGCATGCAATAATTTTCAATGATGCCACAACTATTCCAGTTACGCCCCAGAAGCTTCATCTGAATCAAACATAGTTAACTCGATGTTTCGCGACCTTTCAGACGTTTCGTAACGGCAGATGCTCTAAAGCGTTGTCCTAAAAGATAACAAATATACGGTACCTTCTCTAGTGCTACGGTACCTCTCTAGTGTATAAACGACGTGGAATCGATAAGGGTGTATTGTGTAATCAGTACGAATACTTGTGGCCTTACTTCACCGAGTTCTATGTAAATAGTGCGCACCTGCGCTCCGGCTGTCGGCAAACATCTCTTTGTCACGCGACAAATGAGGAAACTAGGTCTATGATCAGATGGGATCCCAGGTGAACATTCGTGGGATGGAATTATAATAGATCCCATGTCCGTTTTTTTCGGATCCATGCACAATGCACATGTCTGTTATCCTCACCCCGGCCTGGACGGAGTAGCGTTCAATCGATACCCTTGCAGTGGTGAGTGGCTCGTGTCTTTGAATTAATTATCCCCCTCGCGTGTTGCTCGTTGTAAACATAAGTCGTGGCGCGTGCCAAGACAACTGATGATTGCGGCTTGGGACCTGACACGGCTGCAACTTGCAATGTTAGTCATAGTGGTATTTGCTACAGTATAGCAATAAGCGAAGGTTCTGGGGACATTAACTTTGGGGATGGATTAGAAATGTCCAAGTGGTTTCTGCATATAAATGGGGGAACAGTTAATTATTTGCGCTGGAGAGGGGCTTTGGAATATTTGAAGGAGCTGTTTTGGTGGGAAACCGACTGGTTCGCAGAAATCAACATCAGGAAGTGTGCGACTGGCGATTCTTAAAATGTCCTTTGCCAAACTCCACGATCAGTTTTGCAGTGCGTTCTAGCCTTGTATGCGATCTATATTGGACCACTCATGAAATATTTACGTAGCTAAACAGTTCCCGTTAAGGCCGCCGTCCACTGCGACGGAATTCCGTCCGGAGTCCGTCCGGAATGTCGCCGCACGCTGGCCGCATCCGGTCCGGATGCGGTCCGGATGCGGAGAGCAAAATAATGTTTCCTATCACTTATTACCAAATAAAATATTGCAAGTAACCAGCAGCGAATACTCTTGCCATTCTAAGGAAATAATCTTGACTTACTTCATGATGATCGAGTTCCAATTCTTCGTACAATTCACAATGTTTGCCTCCGACACGGCCCCAAACCACGTCTGTTCCGTCTGTTCCGGACGTTCCGGATGCGTTTTCCGCAGAAAAGTTCAACGCGTCGGACATCACTCTTCCGTCTCCGTAGCAACCGCATCCGAAACGCATGCGGAGAGCTGACGGAAAATCAACAGCTGATTGCCGTTCGGATGCGGTCCGGACGGAACGCACACGATTTCCGTACGGACCGGATGCGCCCATAGGGTTCTGTGTTAAATTCCGTACGGACCGCACGCGTTCCGCACAGTGGACGGCGGCCTTAACTTGCTACCGGTTCTCGGCACCTGTGGCTTTAGTATTGTCTAGCAACTACCTTCAGGCACTGACTCAATATACTTTTGGCGACGCAGGTGGCACCTCAGTCGAACCCGGGTTCATTGATTCAACGGGTTTAGTGTTTGTCACTTGCACACACCCAGGGAATGACTTGCATGCCTTCTATCAAAATATGTCATATGCACCTGACTGTCCTTCAATGTCAAACGATGTGTGCGATAGCACAAAAATACCTGCCCAATGCCCATAGTGTTAAGCCCCTCCTTCCGGCAGGCATCATCAGCGGGTACGTACCGCACGGCTCGTCGTGGACGTGTGTACGCAGTCTGTTTCTGCCCACTAACGAGACGGTGAACTTCTGGACGCACTTCTTACCGGCCCTGTACTTTGTCTGGCGGCTGGCCTCTCTGCCGGGCAGCTCGCTGGAGCCGGCCGACCCGTTCACCTGGCCGTTCGTGTGCTACCTCTTCACCTGCTGTCTGTACCCGCTCGTCTCCAGCGGAGCGCACGCCTTCAGCCCCATCTCGGTGAAAGCGGCACACGTTGGTTTCTTTGTTGACTATGCGGCTGTTAGTATGTTCGGCTATGGTGTCGGGGTAATGTACCGCGCCTACTGTTTTCCACGCCGCCTGCTGAACTCAGCCTACAGCGACTGGTTCATGTGCGTCTGCTTCGCCAACACGTGTCTGAGCACAGCTCTGGCCTGTCTCTCGCGGTTCCTGCGCCGCAGCCGCTGGCGGAAGCGGTGCCGCGTGCTGGCCTACCTGGTGCCCTACCTGTGGGACCACGCGCCGCTGCTGCTGCGGGTGCTGGACTGCGGCCCGGAGGCCGATCGCGATGACTGCCGCCCGTCGGACGCCTACCACCTGCACCAGCTGGGGGCGTTCCTGGCCGGCTCACTGCTCTACAGTACTCACTGGCCGGAGCGGATCGCGCCGGGCACGTTCGACGTGATCGGCCACTCGCACAATCTACTGCACGTGCTCAGTATTTACGCCACCTACCAGCAGATGAGTGGCGGCCTGCTGGATCTGGAGGCGGTGCGCAGCCACGGCGCCGGTCTAGTGGAGGGTGCTGCTGACAGACATCTCCAGCTATGGGCCACATGGGGCGCCCTGGCGGCGATCGTCGTGAACCTGGCCATCGTCGCCGTATCGGTGGTCGCCATGTTCCGGAAGGTCAAGCGAGAACACGAGGAGGATAAGCGTCAGTGAAGCCACCTGCAGGCAAGACGCGGAACTGCTGTTTGCCGTGCTCGTCGCGAATGTTCCCCACTGGCTTTCAATGTTAGCTGCCAACGTACCAATGGTTTCGCACAGCACGCATCATTTATATCGCAATGTGGCCAGTCTGGGCGTGCCAACCGGAGTGCCTTAGCCGCGTCACTGCCAGGTGGAGGTTGCAACTCAGTGGTCAGAGGAATGTGCGTGAAGAGGACTGGTCCCGCTACGCTTCCTACCAGCTTGCCTCATATATTTGTGCACGTAGATTTAGTGGCATCTGAATGTTAAACGGCCTGAGTTTTGTGTGCTAAGTTTACACAGCCATATATTTGGGCAATGTGCAGAGATATTACCCAGGTTCTGGTAAGGATTCTTTAAGTATGTATCGATTCGTTGGAGTACCGACTGCAAGCAATGCTTTTCATTGTTTCTAGCATAATCAAAGCAAAAGTATTCCAGCTGTTGCTATGTTGGCTAATTTTGAAAGGCTCAATATTTCGACAATACGTGTTACGATCAATTATTTTTCACGGGTCTCATTTGCTTTCAACCTTTTAAAATACGTCACTTTCTTATCGAGTCATATAGGTGAATGGAAGGCGATTATATCGATGACATTTTTTCGTTCCCTGGAATGCCATATTCTGCTTTTTGGAATTGGATGTTTGTTTATGTAGCGATTTTGTTTGCGACAGGAATGTGGCATATTTGGTCAAGGTGCTGTTACTTCGAAAGCAGCTTGAAAGCTGTGTTATTTTCATTATCCTCGGATAAGTATTCTTGTGCTCTTTCCACTGGTAAGTGAATGTGGAGACGTAGAGTCGTCATAGATTGTCTTAGGACGTAGGTAGTGTGTTTTATTTTTGTGGTCGTAGAGTTCTTTGAGTTGGCGATGCATTGATTGGCTAGGCAAGAGCTTTTTGCCTTGGTGGCGTAGCTGGCACGAAGCTTGTGTCTAGGCAGTATATCGGTGCAGTAGTCTGTAGTCGTTACATGCGTGGCCAGCCGGGCCGATCTGTTTTGGTGATGTCGTTCTGCGTTTGACTGGTCGATGGTAGCTATTTTTATTGATGGCAAACTTCTAGCTCAATGGTTTCATACTCAGGCGAGGTAGAGCCCTGTTTTGAGCAGCAATGCGTGAGGCTTCTGACTGGGCCGTGGTACTGGCTAAACAACTATCGGTGTCTTGTGATTCCGATATGTTGCATCACTCCAGATCGGTCATGATTGACCAGGCTCTGCGCTTGCAGCTTTTCTACGAGGCGAAGAAAGTGCAACAGTCGTCATTCGGTACAATATCATTAAATTCAATTATTGTCCGAGATCGTCAATGATTGTTCGAGATCGTGTCCTGCCGTGCTGATCCTGGTTCATCAGCATTAGTCGCCGGTGGTTTGTTGTATGAAGATTGTTTTTGTTTTATGTCAATCACCCATAATCGTGCTAGTCCCAGCAGCGTAGAATTAGTTTGTTGCAGTGGAAAATGTCTGGCTTGCTCATGGAAGTCATGTTCTGCCGGGACGGAATGTTTTTGGATGTTTTGTAACACACGGCCATGGATGAAATAAGTATCTATTATGTCATCCGTGACACGGCCTTGCGGGAGATGATAATCATTGGTGTGATGATATGATTCCACTTCAATATCTTCCACTGAATAATATCAACGAACATTTATCAGTATCCGCTGAACTTGCGAGTAGTTTTAGTATACATAAACCATTCTAATGTCGTCCCATTTTTGAGTGATTGTAGTTATGTTTGTAACGCTTATGAATGGTGATTGGTGTGTTGGGGCCATTTCTTAGTGAACAATTGTTCTGTCCTGAGCTATACATAGGTAGGTACTTGTATGCGAGCTTTGCTGTCGTGACTGACTCTGGCGCTAAGTGCTTTTGGCCAACTGGCTCTAACTGAATAGTACCTATCCTGTCAATGCATGTCTGCTGCCTGGCGGGCTGGCTCTGGTAACCAGGCCTCTCTGTGGTTCAATTCGCACACACAGCCGGGCTGAGCGCCGCCCCGAGGACAGGGAATGCTGCCTTTGTTACAGCGCAGCTCTAACGGAGGGACCCAAGCTTGAGTGATACGTAATCGATAATGCACAATTGTTTACCAGGGTATATCCACACGCTTGTCCGTGTATCAACTCGATGTTTGCCGAAATAAACTGTTTTGGTTATAAGCTGTTTTGTTCTGTTTTAAAATGATCAGCTAATCGTGTGATGTGAGGTCGTTCTGGAAAAAGAAACGTAACGCTAAGTGGTTTAAGCTGCGCTGTTTTCTGTTAAGTCCATCTGCCCTTTTCAAACGTTCCCGGTAGGTATGTGACTTAATAAGCAGTGAATTGGGTCTGCCTAGAATTATTTGCGTTTGCCCTATTCCCATTCGCCTACACCCTCGCAAATTTTACCAGGCCGTTATGCATAAAAACGTCGGCTTTTGCCTTTCAGCACGTCTCATCCCACGATCACTCCCCCTATCTACCGAATTGCCTCCAAAAAAATGCCCACTCGCGCCGATCAGGTACTGCTGGGTGAGTGCAATGCCGACCCCTCTGCAGTCGACCCGCCCCGCCCGCGGCCGGCCGGCCGATCCGGGACGTTTTCACTTTCAGCTTTTACCGTCTGCGTCGATAGAAATCGGCGGCGCTGGTGGTGCGGCGCCGGCCTGTGTTTTTCTGCGCCTATCGTGCGTCGGTGTGCACCCGTGGCCCCGGCGGCTCAACCTACTGCCGACGGACGTGGGGCGCCGCAGCCGTACGGCAGCCGCGCCGTGTTTAGAGAAATCGAAAGCTCTGCGTGCCGGACTGCGTGGTGCCTTCCGAACGTACGGTGGTCGATGGGAGGGAGGGGAGCTGGGGATTGAGTGGGGAATGTGTGCTGCGAGCCCCGTGAGGTGGCTGGCAATGAGGGACTCGCAGGGGGTGAGAGACGGGTCGGGCTGGAGTACTGTGTGACGAAGCACGACCTTTTGGAATGCGGTGGGGAGGAACGGTATGGTGTGTGTTTAAAATGCTGACAGTACTGCGCTGTGAAAGGAAATGTAAATTAATGAAGAGGAATGACGGATGCACGTTGTGAAAGGAAGGGTGCCTCAACCGGGGGCTGGCCATTGTCACCGGTTGAGCTTACAGCTCGTAGATAGCCATAGTACAATGGGGCAATAGATGCCTACCTATATTGGCTTGTCGCAATTGTCAACGCAACATTGCACGGCTGACCGCGGGCGCCTGCTTATGTGGTCACTGACATCCAGCATTTCAATATGCATGCAACTCCGTTGTCCGCAACTCTCTGGATCTGAGATCCGATGTCATGGCTAACAACTTTTGGCGTGCGGCCAGACCGCTATACCGTGACTCACTCGCCTGTGGAGACCTTGAAAATTCATCCGCGGAGTGAAGGGTCCGGGAGCAATTGTCTTTTTGGCCCTGAAACTCCCCGGACTCCACTGACTGCAAATTGACGGATGGACTTTTAGCAGGCTTATCGCACCTTGCCGGGAGGCTCTGGCAGAACGTCGTAAATTGTTAGATAAAAAGTGTGGGATTGTTCCCAAATGTGCCCATACACCGCAGTTAAGCAGCTGGATGAAACTGATGGGACTGGGGGACTGGTCTCGTGTATTATATCCAGTGCTCAGCTAACGCCAGCGTCGAATCAACAATGTCAAAACACTGGAGCTGGCATGGCATCATAGCAAAGCATGAGGGCTCGTTTGACATGTGAGTTAGCGTGAATAGGCAGTTGACAGGAAAGCGGTTGATTCGTACTGAGCTATCTGCAGGACTTATGGCTACTTTGCACTGGCATGTATGCTCGCTTTATTCAACCACAAGTGCTCGCTGCCTAGCTCATCGCTAGCCGGGGTTAACTTCAGATGCCGTCATCCGCCAATGATGAGGAAAACCGGGCCTGGCCTGGACCGTGGTCAGTAATCGAACGGTGGACAGTTATTCCAATAACGTCTGATGCGCATCGATTATGCACGACCCATTCGCGACGCTCGCTCTACCTGGCGAACAGGTGCCCGTCTCTTCCTGACCTCCATTCCTCGAGCTGTGCTCTGCGGTGGCGGCGCGCAGCTTCCATTAGCGGCCACGGGCGGCGCCACCGTCGACCGCCTCCCACCCGCGCTGCTAACGGGGCCAGCGGCGGCGGCCTGCCGCGGAGGGCCGCGCGGCAGTGTCCCGTCGACAGCGGTCCGCGCCGCCGCCGCCATGGCGCTCCGGCTCAACAAGCCGCGCGATGTGGAGAAGGCCTCGTACTACGTCTGGTTCCTGGGCGCCCTGGAGAGCCGCGGCCTGCGCGGTCGCGAGTTCATCGCGCCCGTAGTCGACGAACTTCTGCGCAAGGAGCAGCACGTCGAGCCCACCAAGGTAACTCTGCAGGTGAGCGACAAGGGCCTGAAGATCGTGCAGCACGTGCCCAAGAAGGGCGGCAAGGGGCGCACGGAGCCCGTGAAGCACTTCATTCCGGACCACGCCATCACGTGCGCGCTGCAGGAGCCGGCGCCGGACCAGGACATCGTCAGCTGTATCCTGCTCATCTTCAACCCGGTCACCAAGTGTCCGGTGCACGTCCACACGTACCGCTGCGACTCTCCAGAGACGGCCGCCCTGCTGGCCAGTCAGCTGCAGACCCTCGCCGGCCGGCCCGACAACCGGGCGCACATCGAGCAGATCGAGGCTCGTCTCCAAGAGCGCGGCCTGCTGGCGGGCCCGGCGCCGCCGGAGCCGCCGCCGCCGGAGCCGGAGCCGGGCCGCGCCGAGTCGGCGCCGTCGAGCGGCGGCTCGGGCTCGGCATCGGGCGCGCCGCCGGTGGCCACCCTGTTCGACTCGCTGGCCGCCGAGCTGCGCACCAAGATCGGCAGCCGCGACACGGGCCCGCTGCTGCTGCCGCCGCGCGACTACGACCTCGACCAGACGGCCGGCCGCACCGGGCACAAGCACGCCGTCCAGGAGGACTCGAGCGGCATCGGCTCCGACGACGCGCCCAGCCCCGACCACCGCGACCGCGACCGCGAGAGGACCTCGTCAGGTCAGTCACCGCACGGGGAGGGCAGAGGGCCGGGAGAGGGCAGCTGGGGTGGAGATAAAGAGGGGAGGAGCGGTCACGAGCAGGGGCTATTTACGAGGCAAACGGTAAAAGATTGTTAACTATTGTTACCTTGGCCAGAACATGTTGTGGGGTCAGTTTACTGTAGCACGTGTGTGTCAGCTCGTGAGTATGATGCTGCAGCCGATGACGTAATTTTGTTTTCAACGTAGGATGGGTGGGCCAAAGAGTCATGCTTTTGACATTGCCTTTAGCCCCTATTGGTTTGATAGGCAATTTAAGCGTGAGACCTCACGGAATTAGATCGTGCCGAAGCTTTCGATATAAGCACAAGGGCACTGCGCTGATGCGCATGTTGGGCTGTCGCAATAATTATACGTCATGTTTTATTTGTACATTTATCGTAAATTTGACCCCACCGCAGCATATCCTTTGGGAGGTTTAACTGCTTTAGCTCACTTTCTAATCATCAATGTTTTGGCGCGGATCTATTAAATTGGCTCCAGTTACAAAGGTTTCACCACACTTACATGGGCAAGACCGGTGTAACTAGCCAGTAGCCACTCGACCTGTCTAGTGTCTAGCCACCGTCCCCCTCCCCTCCCCTTCTCGGTGACCCCGCCGGGAGTGCCGGTGGGCGGGTGTCGAGGGCGCCCGGTCCGCACTCTGCCGCGGCCGGCCAGCCGAGCGGACCCATACGTGACGGGCGCTTTTCGGATGGCCGGCGGCGGCTAGCGGGCGCAGCCCTGACCCTTTGACCCAGAGCCGGATGGCACGGGACCGGGACTGCACTTTGGTATGGACAGCAATGGTACATACGATGTCTCTGCTGTGTTTCTGCGGCCGGCAGACTGCTGGTCACATCGGTCGCCTATGCGAGTGCCGTCTGAGCGGTGGAGAGACTGTTGAAGCAGCCAGTGACCGGCGGACTCGATATGGTGGGCCACAAAGTGTCGAGGCCTCTATCAAAAAGAGGCCTCGACACTCTATTCCTGCTGGAACAGGGCGTTCCAGGGGGTCAATTCAGCTCGCCGCTTCTCCTTTAGTCAGTTTTCCCTCTTCCGGTTTCCACCGGCGGTTTATTAATACAGACAAAAAAGATAGGCAAAAATTTCCGAAGCGGTTATCCGACCTGAGGTCCTGTGCGACTTCCGGTCCCCGCCCCGGCGCGGTCCCGGCCTTCCTAGCCGACTAACGGGAGAGTCGGAGAGCGTCGGCCGTTTGTCGCGTCACGGCTGGGTCCCGGCGGACAGCGACACGGACATCTGCCGGAGAACGGTCATTAGCGGTGGTCGGCGGCGGGCCTCTGATTGATGGCGATTGGCTGCTGAGCGGTCCTGCTCGGCAGATCGGACCGGTAAAATGGACCGGCAGACCTATCGGCAGGGTAGACACTAGACCGGCAACCCAGACTTGCAGTCTGCAGACCGGACCGACAGACCCACCGGCAAAGCCACGGGTAAATACAAGGGCTGGCCCGTCGCCAGACCCACTGGCAGACCACGGCCAGACCCACACAGACAGACACACCGACAGACCCGCCGATTGGTCCGTCGGTAGATGAATGGCAGACCAGAGCGGCCAACAGCTGGCAATGTGGCACAGCCGCCGCCGCCGGCGACTATCACTCGCCCGTCTGTCCGTCTGCAGCTCAGTTGACCTCGCGACCGCCCGATGTAAGTTCGTACGCTGAACGTGCCATGGGTCAAGGCAGCGTGGTAATGACCGAAAGCGGCCGCCACAAGGCAAGGTTCATGCCGCTATTGTTCGCTGTCTCCAACTAACAGCTTACCACGCGCCCATTGTGGTTCGCTGTAGAACGTCCCATTGACAAGCAATCGCAGAATAGACCCACTTTCCACAAATATAAGCTTTTCACTGTGCCGCTCGCGCTGACTGCGGCGCGCATGGCACCGCGTCGCCGGGGATTCCGTGAGGCGTGCGTGTGTAGCCCGAGGGCCATCTCGGGCGCTCTCACTCTTCCATCGTCGTCACGGGCTGTGCTCAACGCGGCCGCGCGACGCGCCCGAGCCTCCGACCTCCAAACCGGGCGACAGCCTCGCCTCGCCAAACCGGGCTGCGGCGGAGCGGGCGCCGGCTGGTACTCCCAGAGGCCGGCCTCCTCCGCCGACCGACGTCCCGCGGCCCACCTGGAGCTCCTTCTGAGGAGCTGGAGGGGCCGGGACGATGTCAAACAGCTGGCGGTCCTGCGGTTCTGACCTGCCGCACCACGCCGGCCGGTCTGTGCCACCAGAAGATCGCCTGGAATTTACTGCCGTTTCAGAGGTCTCGCCGCCGCCTCCGCCTCCGCTTCCGTGTTGGCTCTTCTCACTCACAAACATTCGCAGTACAGGATTCACACACGCACAGACAATACCAATCCCACACACGCTCACTTAGAGCTCACGTGATTACAGGCACCCTCATGCATACACAGGGCCCATACAATTACACACGCTTACATACTCATCGTGCACCCTCTATGCATGCATAGGTGCTACACCGGCATGCATGCATGCACACCATTGCGCGGAAACGAACGGCTTACGACGCGGTCAGTGTCCGTCCGGGAAATGGGTCAATATTGCCGGCTGTTTGGCCGAATTCCGGTCGCGTGGGATCGCTGCCAGAAGGCGGTGTGCGGGACGGCTTTCTCCGCGGTGGAGGTGGTGCGATCCTGCGGGCCGGCCGGCCGTATGGGGTGCTGTGTGTGAGTCACTCACTGCGGAGGGTGCGCTGTTGGGGCTGTGGAGGGTTGGATTAGTGGGGGACTGGGGAGAGCGATGTCTTGCTGAGTGGTGGAGGGTTGCTCTCCCGGACTGGCACCCGGAGGGCCACCGCTGAGCTGCACACCGAGCAAAAACGCGTCCAGGCTGCGGTTTCGCTCACGGTATCGCGACAAAACATCGGACGAAGAAACATACTGATACCGAGTGGAGTTGCAGGACAGCGGTGACGGCGACCTGCTTAAACACTTCACAGCTGCAGACAGCATTTGAGTGGCTCTTGGGGGACCGCAGTCGTTTGCAGATGGCCTGCTGATCAGGACGGCTTGTTTGGTGTCCCGTGTCTGAATATGTTTTGGAAGGGTTCTCGAGTTTCATCACATTTGAGAGGCACCTTCAAATGCGTGACGTTATGCCAATTAACCGTTATAACGAATTGGATCTTAACGTTCCGCACAAGCCATTCTGGGTTATTCCGCATAGATACGGCTATCTCCTTCGCAGACAATGGAGCGATAATAGAACGCTCCACATATTTCAGTCACCGCGCATATTTTCATAACGCAGCGCGGTCAAGGTCTACATATTCTCGATACCGGCTCGGATAGCTCCGGCTGCGTCGCATCTGACCCAACCGTCTTCTCTGGTCCGGGACGGCGCGGCGCGAGTTCGCGTGGCACCTCTGAACGCTGCCGATACCAGACGGATCCGACCTGGGGGTGGGTCGGACACACCCGTTCCGGTGCAGAGGAGCGGCGGCTGTTCCGCCTCCCATCCGACAGTCCGGGTGCGGCACTGACCCAGTGCCGGTGTCAGCGGCCGCCGGCCGTACCGGAAGCTGCAGGCACCGGCGGGCGATGGCCCAGCGTCAGAGGTCGACGCTCAATGGCACGGTCGCCCGGTGTGGCACTGTCGCTCACAATGGGTCGTGGCACGCGCCGCGGGCAGTGCCGGGCTGGCTGTTGTGTGTTGTTGGGGGTGGGGTGGACCACCCGGTGGGGTGTTCATACAAACACCACGCACATACACACACATCGCACTCGGTCCCGGCCCCGCCGATGTGTGTGGGCCGCTGAGGGAGGGGTAGATGCACCGCTTACTCACACTCAACCCCCAACGCCTCTCCGGTCGGGAAGTAGGACTCTGGACGGTGACTGGGGCGGCTCGCCGTACTGCTGAGTGCTGAATCGATATGCAGGACGCGCCGGGTGTCGTGCAGTCGCCTCTCGCCGGCGGGCGCCGCTGCAGTCAGCACACGATTGGGTCAAAAGGTCACCGCCGCGCCGGCCGGTGCAGTGTGCGCCCCGTCCGGAACCCGTTCGACGAGCGTGGCCGCGTTTCACCACACACCAGAACCGGTCGCTATAGATGCCGATTGATTGTAGTGACATGACCGACCACCGGAGGAAGACCAAGCCTTTCTTGGGTTTTGGACTTTAAACTATTTACGGTTGTCCGGATTATTTGTTTGGTTGGTTGTTAGGAGCTCAGGAACACCTGAGAACGGTATCTCACTTTCACCGGTCAAGGAGATGGCCGGCCGATGTTGCGGCGGTGTCTGACCGCGTTCGGAGCCATCTGGGAACCACACATTGTCTGGCGGCCGCTGACCACTCGGGCGGCGTTAATCTGTTGTCGACAGGCTGCTGTGTGCGCGACGGCCAGTGCAGAAGCGGGGTCACCTTGGCAGAGACCAGTTCTGGGCAGCTGTCCGACTTTGAGCCGCCGTCTTTTTTCGTTCGCTTTCGGATAACTGTGCACTGTCGCGGTAAAGATGAGGAATGATTGTAAGCCCCGACTCTCGAGACACGGTACTGCTATGTGCATCGGCATTGTCGACGGCAATTCTGAACAATATGTATTGATGACTGTTGAACTACCGAAGTCTGCTTGTCGGGATGACCGCCGAAAGAGATGGCTTTTAAAGGCGTTTTTCCCTTTTTACATCAGTCTCGTTCAAATAGCACTTCCTTTTGTTGGTTTTGTAATTCGTCACCGAAAGTAGCCCCATGAAATCGGTCATCTGCACTCGCCCATAATTGGTTGTCGCCGAGCCACTTTCTCGTCTATCGGATGTCGCCCGGTGGTCGGTAATGGGCTCCATTGTCGCTGCGGCCAGCCGAGTGTGTCACTTCCCCGGTCGGCAGCCACTGAAACGAGCCCGGTTTGTCGCACGCTCCGTCGATAGATGCTGCTAATCGGTGCTCGTTTGAGCTTGGTGACAGCTCAATGCGCCCAGGAATCGTCGAGTTCATT